TAACTTGATACATGCTTTCAGCCTCAGCCCGGCTGCGGTTGGCGATGTCCTCATGCTGGGCATGGATGCTATCCATGTCCAGGGAGCGGCTGTTGTCCATGGACAGCACCACAGATGTGTCTGAGATCTGAGACTGCAGCTCACGGATCTCCTCTTCATGGATCTGCCGAAGGAAGTTGATCTCATCAGTCAGCCCTTCCAGGCAGGACTCCAGTTCCACCTTGTTCATATATGCTTCGTCCACATCCTTCTTGATGAGAACAAATTCATTCTCCATCTCTGAACGCTTGTTGATCTCATCCTCATACTTGTTCTTGAAGTCCTCCACCAGGCCCTGCATGTTGCCAAGCTCCGCCTCCAGCTTCAGCTTCTCCTGGCCCAGGGCTTCCAGCTGCCACCGCAGGTTGTTGATGTAGCTCTCAAACATGCTGTCCATGTTGCTCCTCGACGTCTTCTGCTGCTGCAGCAGGCTCCACTTGGTCTCCAGCATCTTGTTCTGCAGCTCCAAGAAGCGCACCTTGTCAATGAAGAAGGCGAACTTGTTGTTAAGAGATTTAATCTGCTGCTTCTCCTGGGTGCTCACGGCCTGGATGTTAGGGTCCACCTCCAGCTTCAAGAGGCTCAGCAGGCTCTGGTTCACCGTGACTGCTGTGATGCCTCCTCCTACACCAGCCCCGCTGAAGCCGCCCAGACCCATGCTGGTGCCCAGGCCGCCCCGGAAGCTGCTGCCGCTGCCCACCAGGGAAAAGCTGGAAGAGCTGATGCGCGCACCGGGTCCACTCGTGTACGAACGGCTGCTGAAGGCCCGGGGGCCGGAGGTGGACACCTTGTAGGACTTCTGGGTCACCCTGATGGACATGGTGAAGTCTGGAGTGAAGGCGGTGAGCCGAAGACAGAGGTTCAAGAGCAAGCGGAGAGCAGCTGCTAGGCCCGCGAGCCAGAGTCTTAATCATAACATTAATGGCCTGAATCAAGGGAGGGAACTGACGCATCAGTTCCTCCGCATTCAAGGAGCCATTAGGAATGTTTCCTGGTTCCTGGAACAGATTAAGTTTTTGTCAAGAGAAAAATAGAACAGAAGAAAGGATAGCAGAGTCAATGCAAGAAACCATCTCCAGGAACAAAGTGAACGAGGTCGTTGAGGCTAATCAGGCACCTCAACTCTGAGCAGACTGCCAGGGAACCGCCAGGGGCCAAGCTCCAAGAAGCACGAGCCCCTCATTTTGAGTCGGCCACTACCTGAGAGGCATTTTGTCACACAGGCGAGACAGCCATGGATGTGGCACATCCAGGCATCAAAGGCCTGGGTGTCTCATTTTACCCGTGAGGATCTCCCTTAGAGACATGACTGATAGTACAGGAAGGTCGGCAGTGAGAGAACATAGTACTTACATGTTCCATAGCAGGGCCTACGCCATGCCACACGGCCTCATGAGATGCAGGTGTTGATCAGGAGCCCTCATCCTTTGATTGGGATTCCACAGGCAGAGTAAACAGTCCTAGGATTTCCTGCTCNTTTGATTGGGATTCCACAGGCAGAGTAAACAGTCCTAGGATTTCCTGCTCTGAATAATCCCAACAGGTTTCAGTTTATAGCCATGGCGGTCCTGAGGTGTTGGTTTGGAAAAACACTGGCCTCGGTGCTAAAAGGAGAAGCCAGTCTGTGCACGCAGGAGTAGCTGGTTTGCACATGAGAGCTGTGTTCCTGGAGAGGCCCTGTGGTCTTCTAAGACAGACCAGCCTTCCTTAGGAAGCATTCAAGCTGTCACATACGGAAACCGATGCACAGGGCCCTCTGGTCAAAGGCTACGTGCATGTTTATCTTACACACTGACAATCTGTCCTGTCCGTATGACTCAGTCCCTCACATGCTCACCAACATTGCTCTGCTCAATTGCTCTTCTCAATATTTGCCACTCTTGCTAGTTGTGCTATTATTTTGTTTCTGCCTAATCACCAATGATGCTCATGGTTTTTGTTTGTACCTCTTGCCATTCCTCTCCTTTTTGTTGTGTGGATGTTTTGTGTTGAGTGTATGAGAGAGAGCATACATGCACATGCCACAGTGTGCATATGGGGGGATCAAAGGACAATCTGGGGTGTCACTCTTCACCTACCTTGTCTAAGACAGGTCTCTGTGGCTGTCTGGACTACAGAGAGACTTCTGGGATTTCCCCTATCTCCTCTAATCTCTTGACAGAACACTGGAATTATGGATGTATGCTGCCAAGTTTGGCTTTAGATGGGTTCAGGGACTGGAACTCATGTCCCCAGTAAAGCACAGAAGCATGCTACCCATTGAACCTTCCCAGCCTTCTCTCTTCTCCTTAGATGCACATCTACTCAAATTGTTTTCCCCATTAAAGATTTTTGTCTATATCAATTACATTTCCTTTTTGTTTTTCAGGCAGGGATTTTTTTTTGCTACCCTGGCTGTCCTGGACCTTGCTATATAGACCAGGCTATGACAACTGATGGCCTTTCTTGCAGACCAGGAGAGTCTCCCAAGTCATCTTCTGAGTCACGGCACTGTTGTGGACTGACCTATAAGGAGCCAGCTGCCCTGTGATGAACCCAGAGGGAACATATGAGGTGAGGAGCTGTGCACCTCGTTTCTATCCTGGCAGTCTGGGCTGAAGCCTATGGCTGCTTCCATGATCTTTGTCCTCAGACAGCTACTGTCTTACAGACTCACAAAACTGCAGAGAGCCTTGGGTGGTGGGGGCCAATGCTTTGAATCCCAGCACTTGAGAGGCAGAGATGGGTGGATCTCTGTGACTTTGCGGCCAGCCTGGTCTACATAGCAACAAAAAAAGCTGCAATGGCTTTCCCTTGATACCTAGTCAGTCAGTGGGAGTCGCCCTGCTCTGAGTGCCTACCCAACTCCTTTCTCTGTCTCCTAGATCTGAAGACGCCTGCACTACACACAGACATGGTACCCAGAGCAGAGCAGCAGGTGTTTATTGAACCAGCTTTACAAACTGAGCAAGGAGGGTGCAGGTGTCCGGATTCCAACTACAGGACGGAAAGTGGACAGGGCAGCAATGTGCCTCTCACATCAATCATCATGTTCCAAACAAGTTAAGTTTGGAAAGCAATCACTTCGATTTGTTTATAGTATTCTCTACATTCTGGACTGAAGATGATGGCTTCCTGGAAATCAGAGGACAGAAAGATGCAGAAGTGGTTAAGTCAAGGAGCAGAACTCCAGAAGAGCTCCCCAGTCTGCTCCTTCTGCACAGGGAAGAAAATTCCCTGCAGTGATTCAGGGTTCCAGCAGCAGACTGTGATCCAGGGAGCTGCAGCTCATCCACGGCTGTCAGGAAGTCTGAAAAGCCACCCTAGCCAGGCAGGGATGAAGGGAGAAGTTCCCTACGGCATGATGGGGGCTAGGTCTGGAGAGGGGACAAGATGTCTGAGTTCTAGCTTTGATGATGCCTCATAGCTGAGGACATCCATCAGCACGTTGGCTGTATGGCAGGGTTAGACATACATCCCTGAGTGGATGTGCTGGAAGAAATTCATTCTTGGAGAGTGCTGTGGTTTTGCAGGACCTGACACCCAAACTAAAAGTACTTTGGAAACAGAAAGTGAGAGATGCAATATTCAAAACACGTGTCTCAGTAATTCAGCTATGCTTAAATAAGAAACTAAGGGAGACCAGGAGTGGCTGGGGTGAGTAGCCACAAGCACTCTCTGGTGGGAGGGTGGCTTTTAAGCCACGGGGGAGGGGGAGGTTCTGGCTGTGGCACTGCTAAAGCCAGTGGAAGGAGGGCTCCATCTGAGACAGGAGAGAAGAGTTAAGGGAGACTCCAGAGAAGGTGACCCTGGCCAGTAGACAGAAGCTTCAGGCGCCTTAGAGGATAGCTGAGGGTGCCCTCCCTGTGCAGATCCACACCAAGGACTCTCCTGTGTCCCTGCCTGCCCTGCTGTGGTGAGAACCCAGGGGTCATCCATCGTTGGGGAGCGCCCTGCAGGACCTTGCATAGGCAGACAGGATGTGGACCGGCATGCAGCACGGACATGTGCTAGGGTGGGCAAGTGTTGAGTGCTCTGGTGTCCATTCCCTGACACACGTGCCTAGCTGACTGCATCATTTCTACACAACCAGCATTCTACCACATGGTGCATGGGGGCATCAGGGTAGGGAGAGAGTTACCAGAAGTTTGGCATCCAGGATTTTGCCTTCCACTCCTGCATCAGTGAAGCATTCCAGAAGTTTCCCAAAAGCCTTCCTTTCCCTGTCAGTAGAGCCATACTTGGTAAGGACAGCATTCAATATGGCTTTGTTTCCAGAGGAGACTCCTGCATGGACTTCAAAGGGAGGAAGGTATGCTTCTGCTGCAAATATAGAAGAACATCATTAAAGGAGCCCCAGGCTGACAAATGGGAGGTTCAGGGTTTCTTGCCACTTCTACAAATGTCTTAAGTGATCTTCCCCACAGTCCTGCTCTCCCAAAGGCTGCTGTCTCCCAGATACAGCACTCAGTTTCCATAGACACACACTCCCAGCAGAAGGGGGATGTATGAGAGTAGCAACCTGTATATCTGACATTCACATAAATCTCACACTTGACTCAATTCAGCTGTACATGAAACTAAGGGTCCATCATCACCACCTCACATCTGTCCCCCATCCAGTCCATCCCACCGGTCACAATCCTGAACAGAAAGCTTCAAAGGTCTTTAGCACCACTCCTGGCTAGTGACCTCCCAGGGATTCCCTAGATCTGCAAACAGATCAATAAGGTCGGGAGATGGAGTGGGCAAGGGTCATCTGTTCCCATTCTCACTTGTCTGAAAGCCCAGCTCCCCGGTCACCAGCAAGGCCAGCAGAAACAGCATCCCCTTCATGGTGTAGAGTGCTAAATGCTCTTCTCAGAACAGATCCTGCTACCTTATAAAATGCTGTGTCCATGAGCCCAGTCCCGCCCACCCCCATCCCACCAAAACCCCAAACCTGCCTCCCAAGAATTCTAATTGCCTTAGGGCAAGAACCTGGCACCTATGGATCTGCTTCCCACTTGCGTGGGGGAGTGAGCTTAGGAGCGCCTCCCACTCAGAAGAACCAATGGCTGGAGACATCCTGTGTGCTCACTTTCTGTACAGAAGTGGCTGTACCTTTGGCAGAATATGGTTAAAGCTGACCTTTGTAGTCAGTCACATGCTGAGCCAAATGCTCTGTTGTCCTGGTTCAATCTCACCTCTGCTTCCTCTTCTGGCTCCAAGCACGTCCTGCTCAAGCTTGGAGGTGGAAACCACAGGGGTCAAGGATGGTTTCTGTCACTGTAGGCAGCCAACTGCCTAGAACACCGCATCTGCCTGAGTTCAAGATCTGAGCAGAGTGTGTGTATCTAAGGGGAAATACTGGGGACACTTGGACATCTTAGCTGCTGCAACCTTTGGTCAAGACGTCTGAGGACATGGGGGCACCATCTGCGACTTTCAGTTATTCCCAGCCAGGATAGTCTCAGTGTTTTTGGTCATGTGTGGATTTTCAGGGGCCTGTGATGTTTTTTTCTACCAGCTGCATCATGCTGCAAATTCCCTTCCCCACCATGGTACCTCATCCCTGTCATCCTGCTCTTGTCTGTCTCACCTCCACCAGTAAGCAGGCCTCAAAGAGGTCTAATCAGTAGAGTCAATGTGGTTACAGCAGCTCGCAGTAGAGGGAGGGAGTCATCCCTGTACCATGATTTCTCCGTTGTCCACAGCCCCACAGGCCACTGTGGACTGGCTGTGTATAAACTAGAGCGCTCCACTGTCCCCAGGCAGTGCTGTGTGTGTGGACTCTCTCAAGTTCAACTCAACCTACTACCCTCAGAATGACGTTTGCGGCACAAATGACATTGTTAGCTGGGTGTTGTGTTATTCATTCCTTGAGGCAGGAGGCTTACTGTGTGTGATTTCAGGATGACTGATGGTCATCCTGACTGGGTTTAGAACTACCATAGAAACAAAGCTCTGTGTGTGGGAGTGTTTAGGCTAAGTTAATTATGTCTGACTTTATGTGTCCAGCGTGGACTAGTGTCGTGGATGGAGTGGAAAGGAGAAAGCAAGCTGGGCCTTCACATCTCTCTACTTCCTGACTGTAGATGTGATCTACCATGTCGAGTTCCTGCACCAAGCCTACAGCACCATGCCTACCCTGCTGTCATGGACTGTTTCCCTGCAAACTGTAAGCAGAGAGCTGCTTCTTATTTGGGTTTTGTCACTAGCTAACTAACACAGTAGTAGAGTGTTTCTTAGCATGTGCAAAACCCTGAGGTTAATCCACTGCCCCCCCCCCCAAATGGAGTGGCTAAGGAGATGGCTCAGTGGACAAGTGCTCATTTTGCAAGCCTAAGGATGTGAGTTCAGATCCCCAGGACGCTGTAAAGAGCTGAGTGTGGTGGCTCCACCAAGGCCATGGGAGCTCCAGGTTCAATAACAGACCTCGTCTCAAACAGTAGGGTGGGAGACAGTTGAGATAGCTCAGTGATTAAAGGTGCTTGCTGTTAAGCCTGCTGACCTGGGTTCAAATCCCAGAACTCATATGGTAGGAAAAGAGAATTAACTTCTGAAATTGCCCTCTGACATTAACACACACACACACACACACCATGAAACCTGTGCTCATATACATAAACATGCACAGAAGCACACAAACATACAGAAGTACATGAAAGCACACGTGTGAATACTGTCTTTGAAGACTATCACAAGGGAGCCTAAACAAGCCCCTAATGGCCAATATCCAACAATTTGAACCACAAACTAAGTAACACTCTACTGGATTATAATAGAATTGTGAAGTAACATGAGTCCATGCTGGCATGAATGGTTGGGTGAGCAGATAAACAGGAATGAAAGACAGTGTTCTTCCAGAAGAAACCATGACTATTTCTAGATGTTCCTATCCTCTGGGAAGGGGAATTACTTCCTTCAGTCCTTCAGAGTGAGCATGTGTTTCCAAAGACAGAAGCAAGATGGCCAGGGGCATGGATCTGTCAGAAAAGTGCTTGCTGTGTAAGCAAGAATACTTGAATTTCAATCCCCAAAACCCAATAGGAAAGCCAGGCACAATAGCACACCTTGTGTCCCAGCCCTAGGGAGTCCAACCCTGGAGGTCACTGGCCAGCCAATCTTTTCAAATTAGCAAACTTTAGGTTCAATAAGAGACCCTGTCTCAAAGACTATAAGCTGGACATCTTTTTTTATAATTTTTTTATTTTATTTTTTTATTTATTAAAGATTTCTTCTCTTCCCCACCACCGCCTCCCCTTTCCCTTCCCCTCCCCCAATCAAGTCCCCCTCCCTCGTCATCCCAAAGAGCAAGCAGGGTTCCCTGCCCTGTGGGAAGTCCAGGGACCACCCACCTCCATCCAGGTCTAGTAAGGTGAGCATTCAAACTGCCTAGGCTCCCAGAAAACCAATAGGTGCAGTAGGATCAAAAACCCATTGCCATTGTTCTTGACGTCTCAGTAGTCCTCATTGTCCGCTATGTTCAGCGAGATCGGTTTTAACCCTAAGGTGAACATCTTAAAAAGACGATGTACCCACATGGCGGCTGTCAATCATCTCTCAGTCCAGTTCAGAGGATGCAACAACCTCTTCTGACCTCTACAGGCACTGCACACAGATCATACAACATTCATGCAGGAAAAATCCCCAGGCACATAATCAAAAATAAATGAAATCTTACTAAAAAGCCAAAATATGTATGTGTGTACATGTAAACATACACACACATACACATTGATACATTGGAGAACAACTGAAGGCACCGGTCTCTCTCTGGCTGCCATGTGCATACACATATGTATGCCGTGTGCTTTAGTTAAGATAACTATTGCTCAGGTGGTCATGGGGTGCAGGCCTTTAATCCAGCAATTTAATTCAGGTGGAGTCAGGCAGATCTCTGTGAGTTCAAGGCCATCTTGGTCTACAAAGTGAGTTCCAGGATAGAGTTGGTGCGTAGAGAAATCCTAGCTTGAAAAACAAACAAATAAAAAGATTGATATCACTGTGATAAAACACCATGACAAAACGCTAACTAGGGAGAATAGGGTTTATTTGTCTTATACTTTCAGAACCATTCAGCATCAAAGTGAGGACACTCCAGCAAGGCAGGGACCTGGAGACAGAAACTGATGCAGAGGCCCACGACAGGTGCTCCTTACTGGTTTGTTTCCCATGACTTGCACAGCAGGCTTTCTTATAGAACCCAGAGCCACCTGCCTAGAGATGGCCCCACTATCAATGGCCTGAGCCACCTGCCCTTAATCACTGATCAAGAAAATGCATGGCAAGGGCGTGGTGATGCACGCCTTTGATCTCAGCCCTTGGGAGGCAGAGGCAGGTGAATCTCTGAGTTCGGGGATAGCTTGGTCTAGAGAGTGAGTTCCAAGACAGCCTGGGATACACAGAGAAAACCTGTCTGAGGTGTGGGTAAGAGAAAATGCATTACAGGCTTCCCAGCAGTCCAAAATTATGGAGGCATTTTTTCTTTTTCTTTTTTTTTTAATTTTATTATACTTTTGGTGTTTCAAGTAACAGGTGTGTTTCTATGTAGCCCTCACAATCCTGGAACTCTGTAGACTATGTTGGCCTCGAAATCAAAGAAATCCTTGTCTCTGGTTCCCAAATACTGAGACTAAAGTGTGTCCCGGCACTACCATGAGGAGGCATGTTCTTAGTTGAGGTTCCCTCCTCTCTGATGACTTTAGTTATGTCAAATTGACATAAAACTGACCAGCATACCATGTAACCACACACACAAATGAAGAATGATTTGTGTGAGTTCACAGACACACATGCATGCACATGAACACAAATAGGAAACCGTGAGGAGCTGGGAAAACAGTAGCGACATCTTGTCAGAGAATATTAATGATTGTAGTGAACAGTTCAAGACACTGGGGAAATATGTACATGTCTGTGTCCTCTGACATGTGAGGTCAAGGGTCTTAACCTCTGTGAGTTCTACAGAAAGCCTGATGCCAGCTCTGACAGGAAGAGGGGGCTACAGGTGTCAACCAGCAGCAGACACATCTTAGCCACAGTTTGCCCTCGTCTCCATTCCTAATACTTCCAAGAGAGAGAAGGCCTCAGCTGGGCAGGGATATTGTGCAGGCCTCAACAGCCCTCGGGACCTGCAAGGTCATATGCACAAGAGTGGACAGCTCATAAATGGACCTTGGCGCTTGGCACCTCTTTTCCAAAACAGTTACTGGATGCAAATCCCGTTTGACTCAGCTAACCATTAAGGCAGAAGGTTCTTGGTTCTCTGAGTCTTTGGCAAACATCATTTGTCACTGCTGGTGGAGGGAAATGACAGCCATGAGCCTGTAACTACAAACTACTTAGTTCTGACTTATCAAGACACTTTTATCTTTGCTTTAAAAATTAATACCAGACAAATTATATAAGCACTTATAAAATGTAAACAGGGAAGTGGAGCCAGGAGGCTGAGAGTTTGAAGCCAGCCTCGGTTATGTGGGAAGATACTGTTTGTTTAATGTTTTTTTTGGTTTGTTTGGTTTGGTTTGGTTTGGTTTGGTTTGGTTTGGTTTGGTTTTTTGAGACAGATTTTCTCAGTGAAAAAATCTTGTCTGTCCTGGAATTCACTCAGTAGACCAGGCTGGCTTCGAACTTAACAGAGATCTGCCTGTCTCCTCCAAGTGCTGTGATTGAGGTATGTGTCACCACTGCCTGCTGTTGGTTTCAGGTTTTAATAAGGGTCTTGTTTATGGACTTGAGAGAAGTGAGCTAGCCCTTTAGTCCATCTACCCAGAATCTGTGGAGTCCTCATATGTGGTATCTTAAGGACAGAGTGGCAAATGCCTTGCTCTCCTGAGCCTTTGACATTTAATAGACACCAAAATCAGACAATGCGAGGGGACTTAGGGAAGTGGCAACAGGGTTTAGAGCCCAGTGCTCTGGTGGAGGCTTGGTGTGTTCTAAGATAAGAGGGGTCCAGGTGCACTGAGGTGTATAATCCATGTTCCGTTGCTATGACAAAAAAACACCCAGGATAGGTACATGGGAAAGAAGTTA